AGGACGAAAAATCCTGTTTATATAGTCCATAAATACGACAGGTGCATTTGTTACTCCAAACGGCATGACCACATATTCATAATGGCCATATCTCGACCTGAACGTCGTCTTCTGTACATCCTCTTCTTTAACCAGTATCTGATGGTATCCAGATCTCAAATCAATCTTAGAAAAGATTGATGCTCCTTGTAACTGGTCTAATAAATCATCAATCCTCGGCAACGGGTACTTGTTCTTGATAGTCACCTTGTTTAGTTGCCGATAATCAATACACAACCTGGAGCTCCCATCTTTCTTCTTTACTAGCAATACAGGAGCGCCCCAGGGAGATACACTCGGGCGAATGAACTTCTTTTCCAGCAAATCTTCTACATGTTTCTTCAATTCAGCCAATTCTGCTGGAGCCATACGGTATGATGCCATAGAGATTGGGCCTGAACCAGGAATTAGATTAATCCCAAATTCGACCTCTCTCTGAGGTGGTAACCTTGGTATCTCATCTGGAAACACATCGGAAATTCTCTCACAACTCGGTACCTCTTCCGGGATATTTTCCTTCATTTCATCCATCCGAGTCAGAATCAAATAACACCGAGCTCCCTCTCGTAGCTCTTTCCGAACCTGCTGAGGCGATGTAATAAGTTCATCTCCTAATTCGGATGTACCAACCTCTTCGTCCACGAGTTAATCGGAATGCGATTGGTAGATAACCAATCCATCCCTAAGATTACATCCATATTCTTCAAAGGTAAACCGATTAAGTTCACCTTGTACTGTCGTCCTTCTACGACAATTGGGCACCTTAAACACACATAGGAAGACACCACCGGTCCAGTTGCTTGGTGTAGATACCCTCAATTCATAGGGTAGGTCACACACGGGTAACTTAAGTTTATCCATACAATTATCGGCAATAAAAGAATGGGTAGCTCCCGAATCAAACAAAACTCGTAGAGGTATATCGAGAGATAAAACACACACCTTGCACTAAATTCTCCGACCTCGATGCCTCTGCTCCGACAAGGCAAACACTCGATCCTGCAGCTCTAGGTTTCGCGTCACTCCCCCGGGTGCTAATGATGCCCCAGTCGAGACTATAACATTGAGATTCTGTGGACAGTCTCTAACCATATGTCCTGGCTTCTGGCAAGTGTAGCAAAGACTTGCCCGAGAAGTCTGGGAAGGATTAGTGAAGGCATTCTGTGGGCACTGATTCCTGTAATGAAGGCCTCCACATTGAAAACATTTTACCCCGGATACAGATCCCGATGATCGAGGTGTTGGGGTAACACCGCCACTCTCGGAAGGCTGGGGGCGTGAATAAGGCATCCTCCTCTACGATCTACTACCCCTACTCGGGACCCCACTTGAGTGGGTCCTCATCACTCCGACTCCTCCCTCCCGGAGTCTCTCTATTGTCTTCGCCTTCTCCACCAGCTCTCGGGAATCTCCCGATAGAGAAAGGAACCACCATGAGCTTGATCTCGACCCTCAAGCCTTCCTCAAACTTCCTGCAAAGCCACCGTTCGAAGTTGTACTCGTGTAGAAACGAGATAAGTGCTCAAATCGTATGGCGTAATCATGCACCATCATATTACCCTGTCTCGAGACTCGGGAACTCGGTCTCCTTCGAAATCTAACACTCGTCGGGGAAGTATTTCTCCGAAATCTCTCACGAAAGTTTCCCAATTACACACCTCCCCACGTGCAATCATCATCCTTTGAGTCCCCGACCACCGGAACTCGGCCTCATCAACTAGTAAGTATTTCTCGAATGTCAATTTCCTGTCTTCGGGCATAAGGTAGCCTCAAAAATCTTCTCCACTTCACGCAGCCATTTCTCTGCTGCATCTGGACCCAAATCTCCTCCAAAACAAGGCAGATTATGCCTCATGAACTCAGTCAGCCCCATCTACTCTGATTGGTGATATCCAGCAGAGGATGATGCCATAGTTGGCCTCCCCTGCGGGTAGGTAGCCTGTTGCTGCATGGCAGCTGCCAACATTTCCATTACCCTGGCTAGGACATCTACACTCGGTGGAGTAGGAGTAGGAGTAAGAGTAGGAGGTCGCGGTGCCATCCTATATTAAACGCAACCATCAATACAGAGCAAACATTCACGCACTCACAATCAGAGTTTAATCACAACGGACTTATCATAGGTTCACTACCCATCCCCACAGATTTACAAGGATACTACCGCTCCGATACCACTATTGTAACGACCCTAGAAATCGCTACTATAATGATGTCTTCGCAAAGTAGTAAACAAGTAAATAACAACATTTATTTTACATTATATTACTTGTAATTGTAACATATATTGAAATTCTAGTTCACTAACGAACTTCAAAATATAGTAACATAATTTATTTATATATTATACATGTAAAAGTAGCTCCCTCGAAGCTATCCCACTGAACTATCCTCGTTGTCCGAGTAGTCACATCACCATCTCTCAACTCCTGATCTGCTCCCACATAAAAGTGATCATCGCAGATGCCATCCACATGGAAAAATAGGGGTAAGTATTAAATCATTCGATATAATAAAACAAATATAGAAGTAATAATTATATATTATGATCAATTACGAAATTATCAACACACTAAGACACCTTCCGGAAGTATACCCTAACTATGCCCGAACTCGGAGGCTATCATTCGTGGGCACATTGTGATCGGTACCGCGAGTACCATTCGACCACCCTCCACATAGAGTAGGATTACTGGCGCCCTTCATCACTCATACTTGGAGTACCCCTCCGAGCGCGCCACCGATCATCCCCCATCGACTTCTCACCACCCGATCTCGTAGTCTACCGACCCGACCAATCGGTGAAGTCCGGGACCTCATTCAGAATCCTCCGACATAGTTATTACACTAATGTACTCTGTACCACCTCAAGTACCATTCAAACATAACAAAATTTATTCACATTTGTCGGATTCTGGACCACTTGTCCTCACGGCTCATTCGAGTCAATAAAAATAATATTTGACCGATTCACGCACCAACCCTCCAGTCTCAGTCTAGCCAATATATAACGTCTCGGGGCGATTCGGGCATCGGCCCTCGGGCTCGGTCCGACCCACACACGTCACAACACACTACTTTCATTCTCTCTCTCTCTCTTTATATATATATATTTTTCTAAAATAATTTCCGAAATCATTTCTGAAACTATTTTTGAAATCATTTTCAAAATCATTAAATTACTATTTTGCCCTTAATCTTTTCTTAACATGTCATGTATGTCCCAAAAGGACTATTTTACCCTTGGACATTTTTTGAAATTTCCATTTATGTCCCTGTGATGTAAAATGACTAGTTTACCCTTAATCTTTTAAAAAAATCCCCACCATATCCCTTTCTTCTTCCTTCGCTCGCTCAAGCGAGTACACTGGTCGCTTGAGCGATACAGAACCCGAGAGTCCCCTTTGTTTGAAGGCTTCGTCGCTCAAGCGAGTACACCAGTCGCTTGAACGAGACATGACCCAGGAGTCCCCTTTGTTTGAAGGCTTCGTCGCTCAAGCGAGTACACCAGTCGCTTGAGCGAGACATGACCCAGGAGTCTCCTTTGTTTGAAGGCTTCGTCGTTCAAGCGAGTATACCGGTCGCTTGAGCGAGACATGACCCAGGAGTCCCCTTTGTTTGAAGGCTTCGTCGCTCAAGCGAGTATACCGGTCGCTTGAGCGAGACAGGACCCGAGAGTCCCAAATTTTCCAGGTGTCCTCGCTCAAGCGATGTATTTTTCGCTTGAGCGACTTTTGCAGGTTTTCCAGTTCGCCATTTTCGAAATCCAGGTTTCAAATTTCTCAGTTTCAATCACCCAAATTAGTTCGAAATCAAAATTAAACCATAAACATGTTCAATTTAAGTTAAAAACAACAATTTTATTATATAATTCATCCTTAATTTCAAGAATTTCAAAAAAAAACTTTAAAACGGTGAACAGTTCATCAAAATCAGAAATTCTTCAAAATTAGACATTCTTCAAAATCAGACATTCCAATAATTCATATCTCTACTCCTATTCCTTATTCAGAGAGTACCCAACAATTCAATTTCATATATTGAATGAATTAAACTTCCCCTTACTTGGTATGGTATTTCTACCGAAACTTTCCCACTTAATTCAAGTTCTCTCCAGTTTCACGAGATCCTGCACGAGTAGAGTCTCGTTGCTTGAAATTTAGACAATAGAAGAAGAAGGATGAGAGAAAAATTTTTGATTTCCCTCCTCCCCGCTTCAGATATTCATATATAAGAAAATTTTCATCGTGCATAAGGAAAACTTCGTTACGAAGTTTTCTTGCATGATAATATTAATATAATATTAAAATAAGGCATATGTCACAAAAAAATCGATGCAAGAGAAAAAAAGTAAAAAAATTTAACTTTCATTCTTCTCTGCTTATGTGGGAAGAAAAGAGAGGAAAGATAACACTAAAAAAAGTTTTTCTTTTATTCTTCTCTTCACTTTTTTTTCAATCTAAACCATCTTATTTTTTTCCTCCCTCAAATCCATCCTTCAATCAAATGACAAGTTAAAAAAAAAGTTGGGTGATAGTCCATTTTAATACTCCTACCAAAATTTACAAAAAACCTCTGTTTTTTTTATAAACTTTAATAAAAAATAAGAGTGTAAAAATATGTATTTTTTGACAATATTTAAAATATGTTAAAAAACGCGTTATTTCTCGATTTCATATAACTTTATTTTCCTGTTCACGTAGGCATAGCATTTTCCCGCATCCAAACATTCCCCCGAAATTTCAATTTCAATTTCAATCTGTAAATTTCAGTCAGCGCCACTCCAAAGAGCACACAAACCGCTTCGCCGTTCGTTCAGTCTCTTCAATTCAACTCTGCGCTCGCACGACGCGAAACACTCAAAGCATCTTGACGTCGTTTCTTATGTGTGATTCTTGCGGCTAGTGACAGGCGAAGAAGAAGAACCCACACTTCTCGTTCTTCGCGCCACTCCATTTTCTTTCATGGCTTCTCCTTCGCATCGCACGCGCATCGATCAGGTCCTATTCCATTTCCCTTTCTCCATCCCTAAACGACTCCGTTCGCTCCCACATCACCATCGCACGCCCCGCCAAATTCGTATCGCTTCGCAAAATAAAAACAAACGAAAAACAAATTAAATGTTTCTGAACCTCGCTGCTTAATTATGGTTTACGAATTCTAATTTTGATTTTGTCCTGTTCTCACTTGCGTTCGTTTGTTTGTGGATTTACGCGTGCAGTTTTACGTTTCCAAGAAGAGGAAAGCTACATCGCCAGTATGTAAAGCTGGGAGATCCGAAAAAGGTGCCAGGCATGGGGCTGACGCGTCTCCGAGTGCCAAAGGCACTTTGGATGGTTACCTGGTTGCGTCGCAGGATGGTGGAACTGACGGGGCCACTGCTGCAAACACCGTTAAGAGAAATTTGGCATCAGAGATTGATAGTTCTCTTGACAATGGACTTAATAAGCACACTGTTTCATCGGCTCAAGGGTTTGGAGATTCTGAATCTAGTCGACCAAGTGAAATGGGGCAAGGTGCCGCCAAATCAGAGCTGAAGCAGTTTGCAGCTGACTTTTTGTCTTTGTATTGCAGGTAATGTACTCTATCTGTTTGAAAAATGAATGAGTATTGGTAGACGCATTCAATGTAGTGAGCACCTATAGGATAAAGAAATAGAAGACAGAGAAGTGTAGGTATGCTTGGTAATATGATATGGAATGAAGAAGGTGATAGAAGGAAGGGGTAGAGGTTAATGAGATGTTTAAAATAATAGTGTTCTGTGTTTACGTATCACCAGTTTTGAAAAATTGGAAGTATCAATGAAATGTTCATTCAGGACTGGTGTTGAGATGTTTTCTTTCTCATTTGTGTTGCTTCACTTGTGCATGTATTTGATTATTAGCTTTTGAATTATGCCACTTGCAGTGAACTGCATCCAAGCGTGGATTTGATGTCAGAGATGAAAGTGGATGATCACATGAGTCATGGCTCCCTGGCAGAGGGTAATTGTAGTTTACCACAGAAGAGTAACTACACTGCTGATGAGCTGGGTTTTGGTGTTGAAAATGTATCATTGAGTGTGAAGATAGACGAGGACGTCAAGTCTGGTGTTGTTGTTAAGAATACTATGGGATATGTTCCTAGCTCTTGTACAAAGGTTAAGCTCTAACTTTAGCAGTTTGGATTTTTTTTTTAGCTAGATTGATGTTTTGATTTATGGTATTTGTTTTGATGCTTTGGCTTCTGAGTGACAACAGGTTTCTGGTGGTGGTCATACTGCTGTCTTTGAGACAGGCTTTAGAAAATGTAGTAATACACCTAAGCCGTCTAGGAATGTGGCTGAATGCTACACACCAGGGTCTTTGATAGTTAAAGCTGGGGTTAAGGAGACTCCAAAGTCAACACGTGGAAGTTCATCATTTTCACCTGGAGAAGCATTTTGGAATGAGGCAATTCTACTTGCTGATGGTTTGTGTCTTCCCAGTAATGATCCTTCTAAGGTTATGGGGGAAAGTAATGAGCAAGACGAACCTGAGATGAAGAACTCATGCAATTTACAAAATTATGATGGTAAACCAAAGAAAATATTGGATCAAAGTAAAAACAGGATTTGGAATAGAGAAACAGGTGCTCCTTTTGGGTCAGTTGGGATGCACACGAGAGATTCTGTTAAAGAAGCATCCAGCCTTCCTGTTAAACATTTTGATTTTTCGTTTGAGGACAACAGTTTAGAAGAAAATACCATGCAAAATTGTCATGCTGATAAGCCGACCAATGTTACTTGCGTGCCTGGTAAACAATATGAATCAGGTCCTATAGCAGGTGATATGCATGAAAAAATGAACGAAGTACAAGAAAAGACTGTAGTAAATACATTAGGTAAAAGATTTTGTGATGATAATGTTAGTATGACATCTAATTCACCCCACAACGTGGTCAGGACATCGATTAGTGCACATGCAACTGATGAAGCCAGTACTCCTTCAACTAGTGTATCACTTAATGATCATTTTGACCTAAATAGCTGGCTTCCTCCTGAAATATGGAGCATATATAGGAAGAAAGGAATATCAAACCTTTACAATTGGCAGGTACTGTTATGTCTTATATATGAAGATGTTTCTTAAGTCATCGACTCATTATATTGATTTACTATGTTCTATCCAATAACTGAATGCTAATCTTGGCTGCTGCTTTTCTTTTTCTGATAGTCTTTATTTTAATTTCTTAATTTTCAAAAGTTTTGCCTTTGTGGTTGAGCTGGTTCTGAGTTTAACTAAATCCTTTTTGGTCCCAAATTCTTCTCAGTACTCCTTAGCTACAGAGTATTGAAAACAAATTTCAGAGAAAAGAAACTTTGTATTCTATTATTATGAAAGCAAACTAGTCTCTATCTTATAGTTTTTCACATTTATAAGTTTAAGAAGGCTTTTTATTTATTTTAATTTTCTAGGTCGATTGCCTTCGGGTGGATGGTGTCCTACAGCGAAGAAATCTTGTTTATTGTGCTTCTACAAGGTATTCTCTTATGTCACAGCTAATAATGTAAACCTTATGTTATATTTTTGTCCTATTCATTTATTTAAAGCTAAAGAATTATGTTGTTTCGGATATAAAACTTTTGGGGGGATCATTTTAGGGTTGTCCGTTCAAACAAGGTAGGCCTTTGCATGATAGATTTCATTTTCCCCAACAACGATTTCATTTATAGAGAGTGCTAGAGTCTCAATTTTGGTAATGACCGTTAACATATTGCTGTATAACTTCATTGTTTTACTTTATTTCATATTTATTTTGTTGTATTGGACCTCTCATTTTATTGAATTTGTTGAAAGTCCCATATCGCTTACCTCAAATTATTTGGTATGGTTTAAATACATGTTAGGCTACTTCACATATTGCCAATTGGTTTTATGTTGGAATCTTAACATGGTATCAGAACCAAAGCCTAACATCTTTTCGGTTATTGTCATGGGCCAAAAGTTACCCTTTAGTTGGGTCAAAAGTACCTTTTGCCTGGTCCGGCAGACTTCGTTGGAGGGGGCGTGTTGAAAGTCTCACATTGCTTATCTCATATCATTTGATATGGTTTAAATACATGTTAGGTTACTCCACATATTGCCAATTGGTTTTATGTTGGAACCTTAACAGAATCCATACTATACTTGATTTTATAATTATTTCCTCTTAATATTGATCGCTGAATTCATTATGCTGTTTGATTATAATTCTGCTGCCTGTTGTCTGTTTTGTTTTTAGTTCTTGATGTGATTCTCCTGCTTCTTTTCTGTTTTCTTTTGTTATTTTATTTCAATTTGTTTTTTCTCTATGTTCTTCTTGTGATTTCTCTGTCTTTTATTTGAGGAAGACATGTATTAAATGTTTTTCTTGTTGTGACAGTGCTGGTAAGAGTTTTGTTGCTGAGATTTTAATGCTGCGGAGGGTGATACTAACTGGAAAAATGGCGTTACTTGTTCTCCCATATGTATCAATATGTGCAGAAAAGGTTACTTTTACTGGCCGTCTTATCTGTTTAAATTTTAAAATTACATTTGTTGCTTTGGTCTTGTCACAGATTTATCTCAGGGTAGCTTTAAAATATTTATAAATTTTGAATTTAAAAGTTTTGTATTTTCATTTGTATTCATGTAGGCAGAACACCTTGAACGTCTCCTAGAGCCGCTTGGTAAACATGTTCGTAGTTATTATGGAAACCAAGGTGGTGGAACACTTCCTAAAGATACTTCTGTAGCTGTCTGCACAATAGAGAAGGCAAACTCTCTAATTAATAGATTATTAGAAGAGGGTCGTCTGTCAGAAATGGGAATTATCGTGATTGATGAACTGCATATGGTATCATAAATTATTACTCTTTTTAATTATTTGTCATATGCTCTATTGCATGCTACTTTCTCAAGCATCTTTCTATGGACTATTATTAAAGCTGAAAAGAAAATGGTACGCTTGGATGGTTCATGTGGTTTATTATTGTCTACATTTTTTAACAGGTTGGTGATCCCAGAAGAGGTTATCTTCTAGAACTTATGTTGACAAAGCTTCGTTATGCAGCAGGGGAAGGTATTCCAAAATCAAGTGATGGAGAAAGTTCAGCTGGAAGCAGTGACAAGGCTGATCCTGCACAAGGTCTGCAAATTGTTGGAATGAGTGCAACAATGCCAAACGTTGCAGCAGTTGCTGACTGGCTTCAAGTAAGCATAAATACAAGCATCCTGTCTTATGTACACAACTATTATTGGGCTTCCTCTTTCTTTTGACCAACTGTGCTGTTTTTTGTGTGACTTTTGGTAGTATAATTGCTGTAATCAGTTGAAACAAGGTTCATTGTAACTTTACATAAATTGGCATTTATCCTCTGAAAGACCTAAATTCCGCCTAATTTTGCTTTGTTGTCAACGTATTGCATGTTTAGTACTCTGAACTGCACCATTCATTTGCAATAAGAAACACTAAATTCAACGAAACACTAGCGGGAAATAGTGGAAAAGCAGATTTTGCCAATATAATTGAACCATCCATCTATAAATTTTACAAGAAAACAAACTATTTTTTGTCTAGGACAACAGCTCCATAGGGAGGCAATCTTGTTTATGTTGGTAGCATCCTCAGCATGGTAAGCCTAGCTCTCAGCTTTTTTTTTTTTTTTTTTTTTCTTATTTTCATATACATAAAGGCTTGAACGTTAGACCTTATTTGAGAAAAATCAAGCATGTACCAGCTGAATCAACCATCTATTGGTCTGCAGAAAACTAAGTTTAACAACTTTTGACATTTGTTTAGGATTATAGCTTATAGATGAAATTTAAGAAAGGGACGATATAGGAAAGTGCTAAACTGGGAAATCACATAGTGATCAATCCTAGATAGTAGCCTGTTCTGGAAACACTAGTGGATAAGAGCATGGGATGAATGAAGTCTACATTGTCATTAGAAATTTGAACCAATACAGAAATCTCCTTAGTCATAGATATGGACCTTGTAGAAACTCATCTATTTAGTAGAATTCAGGTCAGGATTTTCATCCATCTAAAACATGTATCAAAAGATACAACTCAACTCAAAGTCGAGAGGATCACCTCCAAAACTCTTAAAATCTCAAAACCAAACAAACTACAACCGCAGATTCTGAAGAACAACAAATCAAACCATTTTGGCTTTGCTAACTCACCGAATGCAAGGATGTCCATATGCTAATACTCAAAGGAGTTACTGTTAACACTCTCAAAATGCATCAAGAGAACCAAAATCACACCAAGCTAGTGCAAAATCATGTCTTAAAAAATGACATTACCAGGGCCCAAGATTGTGACATTCCTGGTTGCGCTTCTGAGTTGTGGTGATATCCTTTATTGCCTGAAACACAACCATGGCATTATAAAATTTGGTCCAATGCATTAGGCATAAAATATCATCCAAGATCACCCCACAAAATCAGGAAACATAAATTTGTGCTCAGTAGGGATACAATTTTTTTGGATGCTCGGGAGTGGTATATAGCTGATTCTCTTTTGAATTAACTCTAGAATAATTTTTTATTTATTTATTTTGATTTGATGACCATTTATTGGTGGTATAATTGACATTGTAATATATGTATAGATGCTTCGTTTTCTAATATTAACTTATAAATCTGTCTCAAATTTGCATGAAGGCAGCACTATACCAGACAGAGTTCCGGCCAGTTCCACTAGAAGAATATATAAAAGTTGGTAATTCCATTTACAACAAAAATATGGAACTTTCTAGAACAATCTCAAAAAATGCTGACCTTGGAGGTAAAGATCCAGATCATGTTGTTGAACTATGTAATGAGGTAGGTGCTCTAGAAGAGTCTTAGTTGCTATGTCTAAACATTGTAATGCTGAGAACTGAATAATTATGAACAACTAGTTATTCTTTTCAGGTTGTTCAAGAGGGACAATCAGTGTTAATATTTTGCTCTAGCCGAAAAGGTTGTGAATCAACTGCAAGGCACATAGCGAAGTTCCTTAAAAGCTTCACTGTTGATGTTAATGATTGTGAATTTGTTGATATTACTTCTGCTATTAAGTCCTTGGGAAAGTGCCCTGCTGGGTTGGACCCCGTATTAGGGGAAACCCTTCCTTCTGGTGTTGCATTTCATCATGCTGGCCTTACGGTAACCTTCCATTCCCTTTTGGGCTTCATGGCTTCCACTTGCACTTTATTACATACTTTTTTTTGGGTAGTTTAAGTGGATATTCGATTCCAGTTTATATAGAAAATGAAAATGTTATGTTTATATAACCTTCCTTAAAGGCCTAAGCCAACTTTTCTATTTATAGGTTGAGGAAAGAGAGATTGTTGAAACCTGTTATCGGAAGGGTCTTTTACGTGTCCTAACTGCCACATCAACCTTAGCAGCTGGGGTAAATCTGCCAGCCAGAAGAGTAATTTTCCGGCAACCTAGAATTGGTTGTGATTTTCTAGATGGGACTAGGTACAAACAGATGGCTGGTCGGGCTGGTCGAACTGGAATTGATACAAAAGGAGAAAGTGTATGGCCTTTTTTTTTTTTTCATTATGCTTTCAACTATGACATGGTAATGTCAATGTGGTTTTTCGTGGATGCTAAGCTGATTGATTTGGGTGTTGCTAAGTATAAACATATATATGCTACTCTGTCTCTATCATTTTTTGTTTTGAATTCTCTCTTTGTTGTACTCAACACGTTTTTTTTTTCTCTTTTCCTAATTTTTCTTTTATACAATGATGTCAGATTTTATTTGGGCATATCTATGTGATATTGGCTGCTGTGTTGTTTTAATTATTTAGGTCTGAGTTGAGTTTAGTTTTTAATTTTTTACTTGCGCAGATCCTTATCTGTAAACCAGAAGAAGTAAAAAAAGTTACAGGCCTTCTTAATGAAAGCTGTTCTCCATTACATTCTTGTTTATCAGAAGACATGAATGGAATGACTCATGCAATCTTAGAAGTAGTGGCTGGAGGAATTGTTCAAACTGCTAGTGATATTAATCGATATGTTAGATGTACACTTTTGAATTCTACAAAACCATTTCTAGATGTGGTAAAATCTGCTCAAGAATCCCTCCGATGGTTGTGCCAAAAAAAATTTCTTGAATGGAATGAAGACACTAAACTGTACAGTACTACACCTCTTGGACGAGCATCTTTTGGCAGTTCTCTTTGTCCAGAAGAATCACTTGTAAGTGTTTGTCTCTATATTTTATTCAGTGTCGCTGCTATTTCCCCTCCTTAATCCACTATGGGTTTATTACAGTCAAACTTTTCCTTACTGTTTTCTGTTAGAATATATTAGACATGTGAATGTGATGACTGTACCTGATATGTTAATTGCTTGTACATAATAGTCCTGTGTAATTATGTTTTTTTTTTTTTTCTTTTCCTGTATTTATAATTGCACGATGATATGCCTCTCAATACTAGGTTAAAACTTTAAATTACATGTGTTCTTGTGCAATTCATCTTTCTCATATCTACAAGTTGGTTTAAGACCTTCTGATCTAGGAATATCTGCTCCTGTTTGTGTTCCCTTTAATTTTTTGTTTCTGCTTTTATTCTTGTGATGATGATGGTAGGACTATTTCTTTGTAATACTAGGTTAGAATATATATATATATATATATATATATGTGTGTGTGTGTGTGTGTGTGTGTGATCCTTTTGTAATATAATCCTTCAAAATTAATATTCACTTTTCCTATATATTTTCTTCCATTGGTGACTTTAAAATATTGGTATATAGTTTGAGGTAGTATAGTCATGCAGTTATTGTTATTAAGCCATAATGTCTTGATTTCATAGGTTGTGTTAGCTGATCTTTCAAGGGCAAGGGAAGGATTTGTCCTTGCATCTGACTTGCATTTAGTTTACTTGGTGACACCAATCAATGTTGATGTTGAGCCCGATTGGGAATTGTTCTATGAGCGTTTTGTTAGATTGTCTCCTCTTGACCAGGTTGGTATTCATTAAGCAGAGTTTCCTTTATCTTTTTGGTAAAAGATGTTACGAGAGTTGCTTGGTAATCATCAAATGTTTACTACCACCTATCTTAGGCTGCATACATAAGTATTATTAATTTTGATTTGCGTGCAGTCAGTTGGCAATCGAGTAGGTGTGACGGAACCATTCTTGATGCATATGGCACATGGCGCACCACTACGTGCTTCAAACAAGTCAAGACATAATACAAGATCATTGCACAATCAACGAAGAAACCAACTTGGGATTTCCAATGCAACAACCAACTATGATGATCAAACACATCGTGTTTGTAGAAGATTCTATGTTGCTCTCATTTTGTCACTTCTAGTTCAGGTGCTTTTCTCTATTGCATGGACTCAAATATTTTTACTCTTACTGCTATTTTTCAAAAGGAATATTACTAGTGAATAAAGAAGACAAAAAGGAATGGGGATAAATAATCATTCTTGGTAGATATCATATGATGATAGAAGTGCAACGAACCACAACTCAAGGCAAAAAGTGCAACACAAAATGCTTTCAAACCTTTGCACGTGTAACTATTACTTATATCCCAAAGGAAATTCTTGAAATGGTTTTCCCTTGAAAACCCAAGCATTCCTCTCCTACTACAATAATGGCTAGAGCCGTTAAAATGGGCTCTCAAAATTGAGGCTTGAAAAGAATTGGGCCAATTTGACTCGTCCTGATCGGTCTGCCCAAGCCGTTGCAATGTTGGCCCAATATTATTATTATTTTCTTTTAAATTTGATATAAATTTAGATAAAAGGAAAGTGGGCTACATTGAGAGGGGCACGAATGTGTAGCTCATAAGGAATTTAGGTTGGCCGAGCCTGCCTTACTTGTCGCACCTTGGCCAGCTGGAATATATATATATATATATATATATATATATATATTTTATAAGAGTGAGAATGCTAAAGCAACACTATGTTAGTCAGCCCAACTAAGTTGACACCACAAACAACACCAATCATATGTAGTACCTCAATATACCATATAAGAAAGAGAAAATACAAAATAAAGTGGGGGGACCACACTAAACCCACAAATAATCATTAATTCTATAGATCTTTAAATAAAATTCATCCCTGAAAAACTTGACAAATAAAACTAGGAGCATTATCCCATAATTATAACCTTAAGACCTAATGCTAAAGTCGGTAAGTTTATCAGCACATTAATTACCCTCCTTAAAAATATGAGAAAAATGAATACAAATATTGCTACTAGTTACAAAAAAATGAGCCATCTATTATGAAGCTCCCAAGGAACAATAGTACGGTTGTAATGGTTTGATTGGCCAAGTTTTGCACTTTTAACAGAACATGTACATCCCACTACCACGACATGTCTCGTAAACTACTATTGCTAGGGCCCCCTAATCATTAAAAATGAAAAAACTTGTTTGTTTAAAGTTCTTAGAATTTGGGTTAGGATCTAATTTTACCTATAAAACTAGCTTGTACGTAGAAATTTATTAAGATAGTTAGAATATTAGATATAAACATGGGAAGAAGGATACAAGAGATTCAGATTTGTTATTATTATCAATTGAGCACTGACTTCTGTAGAGGAAAATCCTTGGAGAGATTTTTTTTCCTAATCATTGTTCTTTCAATCGTATTCAATAAAAATCTGCCTTTTTTCTTTTCAACTTTGGTGTCTAATAAGGTTTGCATCCCATAGTGTATGGCCATATCACTAGTAGATGTGAAACTTAACCACCACCCTTGATATTGCAATTAAGACAACCTCCAAGGGTGACTGCACTTAAGATGGCCTTTTAACACTCTCCCTCATGCCCATGACTTCTAGCTTGGAGCGTAGCAAAATGTAGGTGAATAATTAAGGGATCTAGGATATGCTTTGATATTATCGGAGAATTTGGTTTGGCCTTAGCAAACATAATTACTTTGTTGTGTAAAATAAGATTTGCGACCCCCTTGTATGCTATATTTTAGGAATATCACTAGTCCACGTGAAACTAAACCGCTACCCTTGATTTTGTAATTAAGGAAAACCCCATGGATGCTGAAACTATGGTGGGTTAGGGCTAAGGGTGACCAATATTAAGGTGGCTTTTCAACAATAGTTTTCCATCTTTAACATGTTAAAAGTTTGGAAAAAGGTTATATCCATGGGAACGAATGATAGAATATTTATTCTTCTATTGCTATTGGCTAAAAATGATATATCTTTTTCTTACCACCACATTTTTCTCCTCCATTATTTTCATGTTTAATATTTTACTGTTTTAATCCTTTGAATTTATACGCTTCCTTCTAGTTTTATTTTACACATTGAATATATAATTGATATGGTGTTTCAAGTTCTTTTTTTTCCTAAAATTAAGAAATTTTCTCTACTACCTGCTTTGAGTTGGTTTTATTGTTGACCTCATATTTTGAATTGTGAATCACATTTGTATCAAATCGTAATATCCAGGTACAATGCAAGATTATTTCATATATATCATATAGATGATGTAGTGCTCAATTTAAGCATAAGTCTATCTATGTTTGGGAAGTCTTTGTTTTAGATGGATGGAAACAGAATCAAATAGCAATGGAGTCCATGTATTGAATGAGTGAGTTACAATTAATGGTAAAATAATAAAATAGAATACAAATGTTATTTCAAATTCTATTTCTTTTTAAAATATAATCTCACATGACCTTTTAGTATTTTTTCATAAGAATTGGTATGAATCATTGAATCATTTCGGTTAAATACAAAATACATAGATTCATTCACGTATCATAACATAAGATGCAGAGTCATTTAAGATTCATCTTGAGATATGAATCGGTAGATAGCCCAACTGTATCGAATAAGTTTTCAAACATGAAACATAAGATTCTAATAACTATATCTATAGGCATTATTCTAATTTCCCCCTCTTTTAAATCTGGTTGTTTTTGTAAGAATATTTGAGCATGCTTTGAAAATAGTATTTGAAAATCTATACACTGTATTGTTTTCAGTTAGGTTGTTACAAATTAGTTAGATATATTCTTGATTGTACTTAGTTACACTTTTCTACACACTGTGATGCATATGATTGGGGCATAACTCATATTTCAGGAGGTTTCTTTACACTAAGTGAATTAGGATAAATTAGTCATTTTACTTCTAGCAGAATTGGATAACTATCAACTATGTTCCATTGATGTTTTCATTTTTTATTTCATTTTTTGTATTTTCTTTTAGTGTAAAAGAAAGATCCACCTTTCTTATAGTGTTATATTGACCTAGTGGTTAGTATAATGGGACTGTTGTTAAGCTGCGCTTGTACAAGATTAATTACACTTGGGTTTGACCTAGATTATCTATTTTAATTTAATGATGGAATTAGTCAGTGTTTTCTACAGTAATTATTTTTATTTTTTTAGTTTATTTTACTGTCCTCTTAACCTTTGCTGTAATAAGTTTCAATTTGGAATAATAACTATTTGATCCTCTCGTAACCGGTATATGGCTCCACTATGTAGAGCTTTAGCCTTATTTGTATTTTTCTGAGTTTTACTCTGTATATAGCTCCACTGTGTAGTGTTTTATGCTGCTGCCAAATACAAATTTTCCCCTTTCTTGAGGAAAAAAATCATCCTTTGATGGTCGAATATGTTTACCCCTTTTCTGGCTGGGCTTTATGAAAAATACTGTTGGTAGAAATCTCTCCTCATGTAGCTAATCTCATTTCAGTTTTATGACCCTGAGCTATTTATTTGAGTGTGCTGCTATCCAGGTTACTGAATTGCTTTAGCTACCTTTAATTGGTCTGTTTTAGAATTCTTGTGCTTTTCCTTTTTATGGTATCCCGAGCTCAATTTTTATGTTATGGATTCATTATGTTTGAGATTTCAATTGATGTTTTGAATACGGTTGGTTTTAGGTTGCCTTGTTTACAATTACTACCCAAGAAATCTGACACTTTGGTAGTGTGCTTTTTTCTCATTATTGGTTTTCCATTAATGCTATGTATATTTTGATCAGAATTTATCTTTCCTCTACTTCACTACTCATTTCGTTACCTTTCGTAAGTATTTTCTTATGGTCTGATTATAGTTGCAATTCATTGTTTGTACACCCATTTGAAACTGGTTTATGGAGTTTATCTTTTTTTTTTTAAGTTGCCGACTTTTGTAATGTGTATTTCTTTGTGTTAGATTAGTTGGAAAAGGAGGAAAAGTGGAAAAGGACATTGGCTCTCAATAATATTATAGTTTAGCAATATTTAGTAATTACAGTAGTTTTGGACATTGGAGTATTTAGAGATTCTTGTAATTATGATTTTTAGTGCATGTTGGAGCCTCTGCTCTGCATGGGTTTGATTACATCTCGTGTTTCCTCTTCATCTTTACAGATCCGATATATGATTGATCAATGTGTTATATTAATAAGCAATATCTAAGTGCTTTTGTAATACTGGCAGTTGAAGAACTTCTAATGTAACAGGACTCTTATTACATAGCTGCAGGCTCTAATATTCATCTGTGACAAGCTAATAGCTTAGTATTTCAGATTGACTAGGAGTGTTAGATAGAAGACATTTTATGTTAGAATCTGATATTTAGAGAACGAGTAAAGAACAAAGGGTTCCATTAACCAGTGAAATATTCAGTAATATACAATTGTACATATTTATAGATACTTTGAGAAGAGTGCTTGGGAAGCTAAAGATGCTGTGCCGACTTAGTGCTGATGTAGCAGATAACGCACATTTGTATCTAACTTAGATACAGTTACGTGGATTAAGTTCATCTACAGGGACTAGGGTTCTTGTGCAGACTACACTAACTTATATATGCATATTAACATTTGGGTGCTATTGGCTGGGATAGTGGCGAGCAGTGAACTTGCTCTATATCTACATTATTCCATATAAGCAGTCCAATAGGGGTATTAGGTGAGTTTTAAGTTTTTAGAGTCTTATCAGTAATTATTGTTATTCTTTTATGTTTCATCTTCATCGCTCATTTTCTCTTCCCATCTAATCCCCGGACTATCATTAGAGCTTATTTTATTTCTTGCATAAATGTGATTTTGCGAAGGAAATTCCTGTGGGTGACGTTTGTGAAGCCTTCAAAGTTGCCAGGGGAATGGTTCAATCGTTGCAAGAGAATGCTGGTAGGTTTGCTTCTATGGTTGCTGTGTTTTGTGAGAGACTTGGATGGCATGATCTTGAAGGCTTAGTTGCTAAGTTTCAAAATCGTGTATCATTTGGAGTTAGAGCAGAGATTGTAGAACTGACCACCATTCCCTATGTTAAAGTAAGCTCTAAGCTCACTCAAGTTCTCTGATTGCTGGACGTGCTCCTTGATATAACTTCTATTATTATGGGCTTGTACTAGTAATCTTAGGGTCTGTTTGTTTCGTTCAATTTGCAGGGTTCTCGAGCCAGATCACTCTATAAAGCAGGTTTACGTACACCTCTTGCAATTGCTGAAGCATCCATTCCGGAGATAGTAAAAGCGCTTTTCGAATCCTCATCTTGGGGCACAGAAGGTGATCTGTGGTTTAAGTTGTCTGAATTCTTTTATCTTGATTTAAGATTGGTATTTTGATAGGTTGATATAATATTGATTATTCATAGAAATTATATATGGTAAAAAATTTAAATATGGAACTAAAATAACATGATTAACATTTTTTCAAAGAGAAAAACCCATTATCAATGTACTGTACTTTTAATCTGTTCAGTTTTATCTTTTTATGTTCATTTTGCTTCTTAAATTCATTACATCATATTTTTAAATAGGGAATGTGTGAACCTGCTTTACATTTTTCATATATTGATAGTTGATTTTGTTTCTTTGGAAGGCTCTGCACAAAGGAGCTTACAATTTGGTGTAGCAAAAAAGATAAAGAATGGTGCTCGCAAGATTGTTCTTGATAATGCGGAGGAGGCTAGTAAAGCTGCTTTCTCAGCCTTTAAGTCTCTTGGGTTCAGTGTCCCACAGTTCGCTCCTCGCATATTATCTACTGCTACTCGTGATTCTAGCAGACAGGAAGCTGAAAGTACCTCTGGAAGTGACACAACTGACTCTAATCATAGTTTTGTTGATACAAATCACATTAATAAATCTAAAAAATTTACTTCAGATAAAGAAAGAGAAGACCTAATAAAATTATCTGTTAATGCTTCTCTGGCTTTTGTGGAAGGAAAATCAAGCAGCAGGATGCTATGTAGCTTGTCCACCGTTCCAGTTGTAGGATCTACAATAGAGGAGCACAATGGGAGTTTTGACCATGCTAAAAATCCAGACATGTCCAACCTCTCTGCTCAATTACAGAAACCAAATGGTAAATCTGGTGTACATGATGGGTGCCATGCACGCTGCACAGAGGAACATCGGAATGAAAATTTGGCTAGTGATAATGCTGGTAGTTCCAGCCAGAAAGGCCCCATTAACGCAGTTAATAGTCCTGGTGGGCTTGACTCATTTCTAGATATATGGGACACTATGCCAGAGTTCTACTTTGATATCCATTATATCAAACGATTGGAGTTGCACTCTGCTGCCCCATTTGAAATACATGGCTTAGCCGTTTGTTGGGGAAACTCTCCCGTGTATTATGTTAATATTCCCAGAGATATTCTTTGTTCTGACAATCGGAAAGATGACTATTTATCCTTGAGTGCATGCAGTAACAAGCAGAAAGTTTCATCTTCTAAGTCTAACCAAGATTTAGAGATTGCTAGATATAGGTGGAGTAGAATTAGTAAAATAATGGGGAAAAGTAATATCAGAAAGTTCACATGGAATTTGAAGATTCAGATTCAGGTGCTGAAAAGGCCTGCATTTCCAGTTCAGAGACTCGGATGTTCGGACAGACTTGGAAAAAGTGTAGACCTTGAAGTTGTAGACAATTCTTACTTTTTATTGCCCCCAGTCCATGTTAAGGATGCAGTTGATCTATGCATTGTGGCTTGGATTCTTTGGCCTGATGAAGAGAGTAGCTCTACTCCAAACCTGGATAAGGTAATGTTAATGCTTGTACTGCATCCATGAATGTACAAACATGTACACTTGTTTGGCATTAATTTATGATGATTTTACAGTGTATCTTACTAGTGTGAACAATTGTGATTGATAATATAGGTGGTAAAGAAACGGTTATCCTCTGAGGATGCTGCAGTGGCCAATCAGAGTGGCAGGTGGAGGAATCAGATGCGAAGGGCTGCACATAATGGTTGTTGCCGTCGGGTTGCTCAAACACGAGCATTATGTTCTGTTCTTTGGAAATTACTTGTTTCTGAAGAACTTGCTGAAGTACTTATGGAAATAGAAATTCCATTGGTAAGAATTGATGAAGCTTTGTTATGTACTACAGATGAGTGGTACCAAGTCTGATGAGTATTTTACACCCAATTTTCTCTATATGCATATTTTTATGGGCTATAGTGAAGGAGTCATATACTTATAAAAATAAAATATAATCTAATATTGAACAATTTTTGGATTTTCACAGAACGCTCTATTCAGTATGTGATGGATACATCTTAATTAATCATTCACTTAAAGCAGCTTGGTTGTTGGATTTTGTTTTCATGATTTTGAACACCTGCAACCTGTTTAAAAAAATAGAAAGATTTACATATAAAACCATGTATGAGCCTTCACCTTGCTTGTTAAATTTTATCTTCTGTGAGGTCCTTGATGATGTTATATTGGTCTGTATGACCAAATGGCCTAGGTTTTGATCCGTAGTACCTCTACCCTACCAAATAAAAGTTGGGTTTCAGCTCAATGTAGCTTGGGCTTTGCAGTATCTATAATTCAAACCCAAAGGCTTTGGCACGAGGTAGCATATTAGATACAAAATTGTGCATATGTCACCTAATGTTGCCTAATAGCTTTAGTTTTTTTTTGTTTATATTGCATATTGATATCTTTATGTAGAGGTTTACCTTTAGGGAAAAATGTAAATATTCTATTATGTTTCAAACTTTATATATTTTGTGACTACTACCACTTGGAGATTCATTGTAGAATGTGATTTTGATGATCTTTACGGCTAAACTATAAACTATTGTATTGATATTGCGTGGAAACTTTGATAAAAATGAAGTTATTCAAAAATATGTAATAAAAATGGTTCATGTGTACTTTTATTTGCAAAGTGTGTTGTATGTTAATTGTAGGATAGTTGATAGAGCACACCAATTTTGTATTAATATTGTAGGCATGTACAAATTTATGAAGTCGTTTGATCTCTCTCTCTCTCTATGTGTGTTTTTTTTTATGTATATGTATTTGTGTTCTTTTAATTTTAACTTAATTTTGTGCTTAAAATTTAAAGCACAGTTAGTGCTGAAAGTTACCAGATTAGGGAAAGGAATCAAGAAAAAAAGGTTTGTTATTATATATATATACCAGCTTAACATCTTGTTTATTAATGATTTTATATGCACAATTAGTACATTGAACCAACTCAACCCCTGTAGCTAGCTCACAGTAGAGGACTGCTAAATTCATTATAGTGGACACTTTGCGTTTATACCTAGATGATGTGGAATCTTAACATGTTACATGTTTGAATATGTTAGGTAAATGTTCTTGCTGAGATGGAGATTTGGGGAATTGGTGTTGATTTGGAGAGATGCATCCAGGCTCGTAAATTATTGGTTAAAAGACTCAGGCATCTTGAGAAGGAAGCTTATAAACTGGCTGGGAGGACATTTTCTTTAAATATGCCAGCAGATATTGCAAAGGTGCTGTATGAACACTTGAAACTGCCCATACCTTCTGTGCGAAATAAGGGAAAACAACATTTGAGTACTAGCAAGCATTGCTTGGATGCACTGAGGTATTAAGAACTTTCTGTTTCCTATGTGTTGGTTCTTGTTCTGTTTGTAGTGGCTTGAGATTATAAATACATGGGTAATAGTATTTTGCCACTCCTAGTTTGCAAATCAAAGTCCACACCTCTAGATTCATATTGCACACAGATCTCCACTGTCTTTGATTTTAACCTCTACAAAAGGTTTTGCAAATCAAAGTCTTTTGATTCATATCAACTCAGCGAATCTAGTTTATACATTATCAAGTCATTATCAGACCACCTTCATATGTTGAGTCGTGCAAACTTCATGTTCAATTATTGGTGTGAATGGTATGCTGAAAATATCCCATATTGTTGATGAATATAGCCCAATATTGTGTATATAAGCGAGAGACAATCCTCACATTTATAGGGTTGAGTTGGGTCTAAACTCAAACTGTAAGACTACCAACAAATATAAAACAATGAAATGGTTTTTCATATCGTTGAGAAATCTAGTTGATAATGTAATTGTGGATCTTTTATATGATTTTTCATAGATTTCCTTTAACTTCTTGATCGTCATTGGGAATATTAAAAGAGGGATACACAAGAAGCATGTTAGAAAGGATTGGAGCTATACAACTGGTAATATGTTTGTAGGGTGGTTACTGTCTTGTCTGCCAACTAAATATGCTCATATTTTCTTGCAATATTACAAAAAATATTCCGTCATTTCTCTTCTCTAGGTATTCATCTATCTATAAAAAATATTCAATTTTCTTTTTAATATTCATTATATATTCCATATAACTAAAATGTTGACATTCAGGATGATTGTATATTTATGCTGGACGTTGCACAAGTTTTTTTATGGTGAATACATTCAAATGTTTCATTACTTTTCAGCTCTAGTATTATGCGTTGTGTGCACTACCTTTGTATTCTTTATAAGCAAATTGTGTTCTAGGAAATTTGATTATTTTTTTCAGGCATGAACATCCCATAGTTCCTGTCATTAAAGAACATCGAACAATGGCAAAGCTGTTAAACTCTACGTTAGGATCAATTTGTTCTTTGGCTAGGCTATCTGTTAGCACACAGAAGTATACATTACATGGTCATTGGCTCCAGACATCTACGGCAACTGGTCGACTTTCAATGGAGGAACCTAATCTTCAGGTTTGCGTTCTTTATTAACACATCTTTTGATTTCCTTTAGTTAACTGCTATATTTAATGTTAGAAATGCAACATACAAAGATTCATGTCTTCACCTAATAACATAAGCATTTGGGATTTTTGGATCATGACCAAGTAGTCTATACTTCTATGCTTGCTGCTTTCATGTTTCTAATAAAGAAAAGTTACTTCAACACTAGGTTGGTGGGTTTGTGTGCGTTGTCCACGCTTTAAATCCCAAAGAGCTCTTGAATGTGGAGGCATGTTAGAAATATAATATAAATTATTTGTTTGTCTTCGCCTAATATGCTTTTGAATGTTGGTTCATTACACTTTATTTTATATACTGTCTTGTTGAGGGATGCAGTGTGTTGAGCATACGGTAGACTTCAAAATGAAAGAAGAGGAAAATGAAGGTGATGCTGACGAGAGTTATTGTAGAGTTAATGCTCGTGATTTGTTTGTTCCCACTCAGGTGATTGCTTTTAACTTCAACCTTTTTTGTTTCGTCTGTACGTATGCTCTTAGTTATTGTTTGTTAAACAGCTTTTCCAATGTCAGACTGATAGAAGTAAATGTTGGTGTATATCTTAAAATAAAATTTTATTGTTGCATAGCTGTAACAACCATAACGCTAAGAGGGAATCCTCAAAAGCTAGTTCAAGAGGTTGGAGAACCTCCTAGCCTCCCTGGTAAGGAGACTTCCTCAATGTGGGACTTGTTACAATACCATCCCGTTCGAAAGCCAGCGTCTTTGATGGCTGCACTCCACGACACTTCACTCACCGACACTTCACTCATTGACACTTTACTCGGCCTTCTTACCGGTCAGAACCCTCCAGTGGTCAGAACCCTCCGGCGGTCAGAACCCTCCGGCGGTAGTCCTTCTCGAGTTGGCTAGCTCTCAATGAAAGCACCAATGTAACAACCATAAGGCTAAGAGGGGAACCATCTCTCAAAAACTAGTTCAAGAGGTTGGAGAACCTCCTACCTTATAAGGCCTCCCTGATAAGGAGAACTCCCCAACGTAGGAATTGTTACAATAACCCTAGATACCTACTGATATTTTAGGCACATTTAAAGGCAGGGATCACAAAAAAAGGTTAAGCTAGACCAGACTGCTTAAAAAGAAAAAAATGATGATGAGACGGGTCGGTGAGTTTAGTTCACTCGTCCGTTTAACCGGTCCTGCTTAATCTACTAACTCAACGAGTTAAGGATGAACGGGTCCGCCGGCTTATTTTACAAAATATTTATATATTAAAATTAAAATAAAAAATTATAATATTTTTATATTATATTATTAAAATATATAAATATATTATAATATTATAATTTAAAGTATAAAAATTAATCAATTAAATTTAAATTATTGATTATGATTAGATATTTTAATACTCGATATAATAATTATTTCAATTTATCTAATAAAAATATTAATTAATAAATAAAAATTTAAAAATTATTTATATAATTAAAAATATATTTAAAAAAATATATAAAAAAAAATATAAAAAAAATTATTATCTTACTGATTCGCTAGTCCATTGATCATCTTTTTGGTGGAACGGGTCTAAGCTCGTGTCATCCCATTTTGAACATACTAGAGGTGGAACGAGCCAAGGTGCCACCCTGTTTAAGGCAGAAAAAACAATCACTCTCTGTTACTGGATCGCTGGCCCTGGTTTTGGAAGACACTGGCCTGATTTCGATTGGTTCTTAGACCCTTGAATCTTTGATACCCGTAGTTGATAATTCTTTGCTTTACTTTAGTAGTGAGCTTTAAGAAGCAAATTGTACTTTTGACGGTAGCTGATTTGATTCTTTTGCTTTCTTTGCTGAAAATAAGTAAAAATCGCTTTTAAATATGCCATTCATTATTTTCTCTTATTAAGTTGCCTTTTTTTAATTTTGAATTCTAATTTACTGCATCACTTCTACATCTTCACTGCTATTTCCCCATCTCAGAACATTGGTTTAGGAAGACTAAGTAAAGTCCAGAGAAATCATAAGTACCTTGATAGAAGTACTGTTTTTTGAAAATTGGATTGGATTGCTAGGTGAAGTGAGAATCAGAGTAGAATTTGTTATGTTACTTTAATAGAAGGATTTAATTAAATCAGGATAAAACTGAAAAAAATGGATTTAAAATCGAATCAATGTTGTTAAAAAAAATTATTTAAAATAATTTTTTTATAAAAAATAGAATATATTTTAGTTTTATTTTACATTAGTTATATCAACTTTAAATAATTATTATTTTATTATATTTTTATTTTATTTTAATAATTATTTATTATTTATTTTTTAATATATTTTATATTTATAATTTTTATTATAATTTATAATAGTCTTTATTATTTTTCTTTCTTTTTATAAAAATATTAATTATTAATAAACTTATATATATTTATTATATTATAAAAATATTATTTTTTAAAATTTGATGTATTTATATTGAAAATTTAAATTTTGAACTAATATCTTTGTTGATTTAATGACTGATCCAATTTTAAAAATATTATAACATTGATTCATGCAAATCAAAGTAATTAATTCGATAGTTTATAATAGAAGATCTTTTTTCTTAATAAAGTGAAAAATGCTTTTGCATCATTAAACAACTTCTAAAGAGAAAAAAAAACAATACAAAAGTATGAGACCAAAATAAACTCACTAAGTGAAAAAGGATAGAAAACCACGTCTAGGTACATTATTCCATCAAGAAACAACAAAAGTTCTCAAATAAACCATAACACATTATTCCACCTAGTGCGAAGGGACGTTTGTTCGGTGGTTTCTCCTTACATTTTACAACTATGCTTTTTCCCACTAATTCCTAACCCTATTTTTTTCTATTATGTAGCTCATACAATATTCTCTTCCTTGTTTCATGTTCATTCTCTCGTTAGCCTTTTACTACACAACATCATAGGTCTACTGTGCAGTGCATTTTTCACAGATAGCGTTAAACACTCCTCCATTTAATCCACGTAGCTGGAATTCTTATTTTTACGCCCCTTTGTTATCGGTTGTTCAGTATGATGAAAGCAAGGTACTCAAACTATTTGACTTGTGCCTTTGGTCTCCATTTTTTCATATCTAAGCTTGGATTTATATGCCTTCCGCTAAACAAACGTTATATATGCTCTATTTTATTTATAATTAAATGAAAGCCATATACTTCAAAAACTTGTCTTGCCTCTTCCTCTTGACTCACCTAGAATTGTCAACTATAAGAATCATTTGTCCTTCCTTAGTTGGCAACAAGACCTTACAAGCTCATACTTGACCCTTAATCTAGTCATATAATTATAGGACTTTTGAGCAGCGGGAACTTCTCCTCCTTTACCTCCTAAGATTTTAAACTTCATATATTCTGTTCTCTTTCTTTTCCATCCTACCTCTCTAACAAAGTGAAGAAAATTTCCTTTTTTTTAACTATAGGAAGCCAACTTTCCTTTTTTTCCCCTCCCTGACGCCAATACACTTACATTTTATTGATTTTGTAATCCATTACTCTCTCAGCTTTTTTTTTTTTTTTTTTGGTAAATATCTGGTCTTAATGTGTTAAATATTTAGTATACCTGTGGTCTATCCTCTCATTGTTTCCTTGCAGGACAACTGGTTACTATTAACAGCGGATTATTCTCAAATAGAATTGAGATTGATGGCACACTTCTCTAAAGACTCTTCACTTGTTGAACTTCTCAGTAAGCCTGATGGTGATGTCTTTACAATGATAGCAGCAAGATGGACTGGGTGTTCGGAGGTCTCTGTGGGTTCTCAAGAGAGAGAGCAGACCAAAAGGATGGTATATGGCATTCTTTATGGTATGGGTGTCAATAGCCTTGCTGAACAACTGGATTGCACTTCTGATGAAGCTGCTGAAAAGATTGCTAATTTCAAAAGCTCTTTTCCTGGTGTTGCTTCTTGGCTTCGTGAAGCTGTTGCGTCTTGTCGTAGTAAAGGGTGAGGAAACCTTGTTCCACTTTTGCACATCTCAACTCAATATCTCTTTGCAGTAATACAGTAACTAAGATACTCTAGTCGTTGTAAGCATTGGATACTCTTTTTGGAAATTGTGTTGATTATTTTGTGCTATTGTTTTGTATTTCTTTCTACAAGAGGACATTTTTTGGTAGGATTTAAAATGTCTTCGTACAAATTGATACTTTTTTTGGTATTTAAACTATTTTAATCTCTATTGTAATTTGTACACAAGATGTTTCTTTTTTGTGATCTCTATATATATCTAACCATGTTGGAAACTATGCTTATGATAAAGGTGATTTACTATAGCACTTTGATTTGAGTATTCTTGTTAAACTTGTTTTACGTTTGGGAATTGTGGATTACATTTCTCTATGCATGATCCAGATATGTGGAGACTCTAAAGGGAAGAAAACGGTTTTTGTCAAAAATAAAATTTGGCAGCAGTACAGAAAAATCAAAAGCTCAAAGGCAAGCTGTAAATTCCATTTGTCAGGTATGGTATAATTTCTTTCTCTTCCTGGTTGACGATGATTGCTTCATAGCATGTTACAGAATTCATGTTTGCGTTGTTTCTTTTCTTTTTACCCCTCCCAGGGATCTGCGGCTGACATAATTAAGATTGCAATGATAAGAATTTATTCTGCAATTGTCTCTGGATTTGATGGTCTTGATTCCAGTTCTTCTGTAGAAACGAAGTTTCACATGCTTAAAGATCGTTGCCGGATTCTGTTACAAGTAAAATTTAGAGGATTCGTCTTTTCTTACTTTTGTTTGTTTATGTGTTTCACTTCATTTATTGATTTGTTAATAGGTACACGATGAATTAGTGTTGGAAGTTGATCCTTCTGTGGTAAAAGAAGCGGCCCTATTATTACAGAGTAGCATGGAGAATGCAGTCTCACTTCTTGGTTTGTTTTGGATAAAATAAATTCTTTTGGGACCTTTTTCTTTTTTAGGGAGAAGGGGGGGTTGAATGATAAAATGAATTATAGTTCTGGTTGTATGATGAAATAACATTCACTGTTTACATTTATGCTTCTGCAGTTCCTTTGCATGTCAAACTTAAGGTTGGAAGAACATGGGGATCCTTGGAGCTATTTACCCCTGATAAATTCAAGGATGACACTCTTGTCGCTGCATCATGAAGCACCCTGGTTATGTTTTTTTCACGACCCAAGATATATATTATTTGATGATGTTGGGGGTGCGTTCTCCATAATTGATTCGGAGGATTTGGAATGGGGGAAATCCGATTTCCCTTTTGGAAAGAATTACGGCGACGAGGCTTATGGGTATAATAGTATCTGGAGTCCTCGTTGAATAAAAGACAAAAGGGTAATGTTTCGACACATATCCATCTACACTCGAAGAGAAAAGAAACCAGAAGATAGCTAAGTGATTGATGTAACAGGAAATATGGTGAAAAGAAACGGTTAGAGACGGGTGAAACGTGAGTGTAATATTGAGGTGTCTATGTGCTTCAATGCCTAGCAAGTAATAACACATTCATTAAATCATTTTTTTCGAGGATAGGAATACAAATTTTGTAGGGGTTTTGTATATATTAAAGTATCTGGTTGTGGGGGCCAAGTTCGAGAGAAAAATGGACGTGATCTTCTTTCCCATTGCATTGTATTTGCTAATGTAAAGAGAAATCGTTTGTTCTTTGGTTAAGGGATTTTGCAAATTTTAGAAAATTTAAATTATTTTTATTTGTCCAAGTTTGTCAAAAGAAATATTGACCAACATAATTATTTTGATCAACATAGATTAAGATTTTTTTTTTTCAATGGGTTGGTTTAAGTGTTTTTTTTTCTTTTAGATTTTTATGTTAGTTAAAAAAATTTCTAACTAATATAAGGGAAAAAATCTTAATCAAGATTATTCAAAATGTTTTTAACGTTGAGGAAAAAATCCTAACCAATTTTAGATTTTAGATAAAAAGTAATATCAATGGTTTCAATGCAATTACAAATCCAGTAAACATTAAGAAAAAAATAATCATGATAGATGTCGATGAAGGTAACAGTCACTTAATTAGCCTGATTGATTGAAAAAATTATCCAACTAATAATATTCATAGATAAATAATTTTAATAATTTCAATAAAAAATAACATATTAATATTAGCTAAAGAATCCTAATATATACCACTAAGTCAAAAAATAATTTCGAGATACTTGAACTAAAATACTTAGCCAATGACAACAACATCCTTATTGATATGGAGTCAATAAAAAAATATAAATTAAAAAAAAATGCAAAGTTTAAAATTTTTACTTTTATATTAAATTTAAAATTCTTTTCTCCTAGAAAATCAAATTATTTTCATAAATGATTAGAATCTTAATTTTTAACTTTTTTTATCCAGACAACATATTTTTATCATAGGCATTTCAAATTTCTATAAAAATAAATTAAATTATAAAATTTGTTCATTCAAATAGACTGCATTCAATATTTATAGAAAAGTTAAAAAAAAAAAGTTGCACACGTCCTATCAATTTTTTTATTTCTAATAATAGGTAAAATTAGTGATACGTTGACGCACAAATCACAACACCCACCCCGAAATCCATAGGCAGATATCTTTACGTGAATGAAAGAAAACCTTGGTATATATATCACATATGCAGTACATCACTGTTACATATTACATGCCTAAACTGCAGAAGGAAACTTGCAACGACGTGGGATAACATAATATAAATACTACGATTCAGTTTTATAGCTCATTTCATGCTATTAAAACTGCCGAATTATTTAACATCACAAATGGGACTCTCGAGTTTCTACTTAGGAACAAAGGCGACATGATCCTGAGGTAGGAAGTGACAGACGGGAACAGTTCCTGGTTGAACCTTAAGCACTTGGAAGGCCAAATGCTTGGGATTCCAATTTGATGTGTCAGTGTGACACACTGCAACTGCTTTGACCCTGCTTCCATCAGCACCCTCCAATGGGACAGAATAGGTTCTAATGCTATCTGATTTGTGACAGTAGAACACTGCATAAGGGTATTTCTCACTGTGGCACACAACACCCTTCTCCTCACCCAACTTCTTAACTCCTGCTGCCATTGTGTATTCTTGCAACTCCCTCTCTTTTCCCACTTCTGTGGAGACGGCATCAACATTGTTTCCAAGTTTCGAAGTCGCGAAATCAACCATGGACTCAAGGGAAGTCACGCAACGCTTTTCCTCTCCTCTGATGCTAGGCTCTTCGCACTCACCGATGGTGTTCTTCACCATTTCAGCCTCATCTGACCCTGCCTTGATGGAGAACCTGTGCAATATGTCACTGACCCTGTTTGATGAAAAGGGTATGGAATCAGCCACAGGACGAGGCAAGAATGTGGCCTCAACGTTTGATGTGTGAGAGAAGTGCAAGTTCAATTTGGTTCCATGATGCAAGTCCTTTTCCAGGAAGAAGAGTGCCACGTTGGGATCATCATGCAACTGGGTCTCGCTGGCTGCATAATTGTAATCAAATGGAGAGTATTTCCCCACTCCAACATGCACTGGCTTTCCCTTTGGTCCTGCGCGTACATTCACTCCATCGTTTCCTCCACCAACATCAACATCAGTGCCACCACCTTGTCCCTGGTTTCCCTTTTCTACACCAACATTTACACCACCATTCCCTACATTTACAGCGGTGTCCTTCTCTTCCCTCCAATCTATATATTTTCAAAGAAAATGATAAAGTGAAATATCTAATAATTAAATATTCATCCAAATAATAATAAAAAAAGTGAATTGTAAAATAGTTTAGTTAAATAAAGTTGGTGTTTATCAATCAGTATTCTTAAATGTTGGTTTCACTTAAAGATAAAAGTTTAATATGAATGGAATAAGTATTTGCCTTAAATCAACACTCTTCAAAGAATAACATTTTTCTTCATTCAAACATGTTTTTGCTCTGATGTTTGCCCGTAATAATTAAAATGGTTTCTAATAGATTCTTACAATTATAACACGGTGGGAATCGTATGAAAACTTGTGAAATATAGGAATAGAGATAAAAAGTAGATGTTAAGTGTTGATATAAAAAAGGTAGGTGTGTGACTTTGTTTTTATTATTCTAAATGACTTATTTGGAAAGGTATGGGTGATGGTTGTGTTTTATCTAAAACAAAGATACTGGTGAGGTGCATAGCCTGAAAAGGAATTGCCGTAATAATTTTTATTGTGTAGGAGAATGGTACTGACCAGGGTGTAGCAAATCAGTGATGGCTTTGGGCATTGGTGTGGTGGGAAGCATCGACTTCCAGTAAAATTGTTGAAGTAATGCAGCATTTGTTGCCACAACAAGCTGCATTTCGTAACACAACCCTTTTAGTTTCTCATATATCACATGCAAATAGTGATTTAGGTTAAATCACTGTTATTTTCTTATGGGGTAAAGCAAGAGTTTGAAGTAGTGTTATTGAAGAAAAGTGGATGAGGGTGAGGAAGAGTAAGAACATACCATGAGAAAAGTAACGATGGGAAGAATGTGAAATTCCATATTGGGTTTTGAAGAATTGACGAAAATGAGGAGGAATGAGAAGCAAAGTGGCTTGAAGGATTTGAATATATAGTGAATTGTTTGTGAAGAAAATGATTAATTATTAGGTCCAATTGAACTAAACTACCCGTGGCTCAACAATATTCTCTTGCTTTTATGTGTGTGGGGGAGAGAAAAAGAGAGGGGAAAGAGAATTGATTAAAATCAGGTAAATGTAAAGAGTTTGGTACAACATATGGCTCAAAGCAACTTCCATAACATGCATTACGTGACCCCTAACTTCTTCACACCTCCACTTATTTATCACAAGAAAAATACCACATACTTTTACTGCAAAATAAACTTTATTATTATTATCACAATTTTGATATCATGCTAAATAAATGAATTAGTGTCCAACTATTCAATCTTATCAAATTAATTGTAAAATGAAATTTATATTTTTATAATACCTATTGAAAACTTGATTAAATAGTAGTTTTTTTAATTATATTTTTCATTTATAATATTCATTTATAAATAAATTAAGAGATTTTTATAATCACTAATTTTCGATTTAAATACTAATAGATTTTTTAAAGTAAGAAGTTAAAATACTAGAAAAGATTTTATACCACTTAAAAAAATCTATCTATTACGTATTCGAGGTTGAATTGAAAAAAAAAGAATGAAATTGAATAAAAATAAGTTATTTTTTATTATTCTAACATTATTTATTTAATTTTTATTATAATAATTAAAATTAAAATATAATATATGGATGAAAATGAAATATTAAAATTTGTTTCCTACTTTCTGTTTCTAAATTAAGTGACATTTTATTGAAAAAAATTATTTTTAAATAGTTATAGTATTTATAATATTTAAAAATATATAAATTATTCGTTTATCAACTATATTATATATATATATATATATATATATATATATATGATATTCAGAATAAAATTTAAGAGAATGAAAAAAAGAAAATAATGAAAATAAAAATAAAAATTAAAGTTATTTGAATTAAGGTAAAAAGATAAAAATAAAAAGTAATTATTTTACCTTTAATAGTTTTATTTATAATTTTAATATTATTTTTTTGTTTATCTTCAAATTCTTGCATGTAGGACTTTGAATCCAAACTGGATTAAGTAAGATATATATTATGAAGAGAGAGTTATATATAGAGATGAAGAAGAAACTTTCTTATATTTAGATCCACTGTTATATTAAATTATAAAATAAAATAAAAATAATAAGAGTAAAGAATAACTGTATCCTTACATAATTGAAAGCATCTTCATCTTATTGTTGGTCTTTAATTAAGGTGGTTTTTTTTTTTTTTATAAGAGAAACAAAACACAACTTTTTAGATAAAAATAATTATCTGATTTTAATGTTTAAAACTATATATCCCTTCGTATTCCTTCTAAAACCCAAAAACACACATTTATTAGCATGTGAGTCAAATTTAATTCTATTTCTTTAATGGTTGAAACAAACATAAAGTTCTGAAGATTATAAGATCATATATATTGGGGCAACAATTATTCAATAACTTAAAACGTGTTTTCATGTCAAGAATAAGAGATGATATTCTATTTATGAGAGACACAACATAAGAAATATAACATACAACAAAAAAAACAAATTAAAATGAAAAATGAGACTACGAGCAATATTCATAATATGTCAGTGTTTTCTTTTCACACTGGAATTTTATTGTGGAGTTTCTACCTCTAGTTTGATGAATAATATATACCAAACTCATCATAAATGTTTCCACATGTAAATTCACTTATATTATCAGATCTAATTATTTTGATTTTTTTATCAAATTGATTTTTCACCAATCTAATAAAACTAGATAAGACACTATTGGTTTTAGCTTTATTTTGCATGAAGTAGAACCGAGTATATTACTAAAGTTATCCACAATTGTTAAAAATACATAGACATACCGAATGACCCTAGAAAATGTCTAAATGTATTAATTCCAAAATACATTTGGAACTAGTGTTGCTAAGAGGAGATGATAACCTATGCTGCTTGGCCATGTGACAAGAGTCGCAAAAGACATGTAAGAGAACACCTTGCTCATATTATTCTTTCCAATTTGTTACTTTCAGATGGACTGACTATTGATCATGTTAACTAAATTTATGTTGTCAATTTGAATGTCTCCGTCCCTCTTGCTACAAAATAAGGGAAAACAAATGATTAATATTAGGCAAAGATTCCATTAGGAGGATTTGAGTCTTTAACAATGGTGTATATATGTCTCCATGACCCTTCAACAAACACATCACATGCACAAAGTCTTTGTGCTTAGCAATAATCATGACAAAATCACAAGCATATTTCAAGTTCTTCCCACAAAATCTTGAGGTCAACAAAAAATTTAAACACATTTTTTTCTCCTTATTTAATAGAATGAATTTCTTGAAAAAGATTTGAGATCCTAAAGTGGTCTCCCTTTAAAAAGCTCTCTTTCAAAACATCCTAGAGATTCTTATAACAGCATCAAATATATGTGTTATTTGCGTGTTTACAATTCTAGTAATCTAGGATTCACCATCACAATATTGTAGTGCTCCCATGCTTCATACAAAGAATCGTTCTTCATAGGAATGACAAGGCTATACCATCAACAAACTTCCAATTGATTTTAGAAAGAAGTACTCTTTTCATGATTCTACTTCATCACTGATAATTCTAATCATTAAACTGAGAATTGATAAGTATCATGCCTAGGTTTTCATCAAGATGGTGATAATAAAGGTTTGACAGATTTTGGAGTTCATCTATTATATCTTGATTCATACTAACGATGATGGTTTGATTCAAGAATAAAAGAAAATGTGATCAAAATATATAAAAAGACTTTATGAACAAATGGTTGAAACATAGTGGATCCTACTCTAATACCATATTAAAATCAAAAGGGCTTCATTACGAGTGAGTATTGGATGGTCATGCTCTAATGCTATATTAAAACCAAAAAAAGCTTCATAATGTGTTAGTGTTCGTGCATGATTACATGATAAGATCAAGAAAGAAGGAAGAAAAAAAAAAAACAATGATAAATATAAATGGAAGCATGAAAAATTAATTATATTAATATCCTTATAGGAATATAAATAAAACAAAGACATAATAACTACTAAAATAAAATTTAACTAGTTGGTATGCATGAATATATCTAATAAAGTTATAAAATGTCTTATTAATTCTTACTCGTGTATTTTTTTTCTCTTAAAAGATCATTTATTAGGTACATAAAGTCTTTAATACTTAAAAAAGTATTCATCTTATTTAAAACATTTGTGACCCTTTTGACGCTGTATGCTCATAAAAAGATAAATAGGACGAATATGCGAAAATTTGAGAGATTGTTTTTTATTTGGATTTGAGTAAGCAATTAGCACAAAAATAATGAACGTAAAATGTAAATTTTGTTTCCACGCTAGAATAGAAGAAAAGTAGAAAAACAAATATGAAAATCGAAAATATTACAGTAAATTTTGTTTTCTTGTGAGAAGGGGAAACTTTTTTTATTCATCGTTTTATAAAACACATTATCAATTATGTAGTTTAAAAAAGTAATTATCTTTTAAATATAAGAAATAAATAAAATAATATTATAATAATTTTTTCTCATTTCTCCTTATTTCATACTTTTTTTTTCTTTTTACTTCTATTTTTAATCTAAACAAAAGACAATAAAAGATTAGAAAAGGGAAATAATTAAAATAGAAAACATGAAATTTTTTTGGAATCTCAATATTAATTAAACGACTAAATCAATTTGCTACCGGAAAAAAATGTAGAGATTCATTTAATGAGCTGAAATAATAATTTTACAGTTGAATTGTATTTTATTTTTGGTATAAACCACGTATTTCAATGGAATATTATAAATCTTTTCTAAATTAATATAGTTGCATATTTTCTCTGCAGTTTAATTTTGTTCATATATAAAAATAATAATAAATATATTAATTATTAAAATACTTTTCCTAAAAATTCCTCCTTCTTTCCATAAATATTATTTTATCTTTTACAAATATGAATATTAAAATAATTTATTTAGAGACGAATCAGAAATACAATAATTAAGATTTAATTGAAAACACATAAATTAAATTGGAGTATTTTTTATAAAATCTGAAACTACAGTTATTCTAAAGAAAAATATTTAGAATTCAAATTCAAAAACAAATTTTTACCGTTTAATTTAATATATTAGAAATAATTTTAATTAATATACTTTTTTTCTTTTTACAATTTTAATACAAGTACATTAAACACCAAACATTATTGTGAGGTTCAAGGTATAAATGTCATTTAATGGCTATCTAAGGTAAAATTAACTTTATTATATAAAGGAATGTAGTATGTTAATTTCATGTTAGGTATGACATAAATTAATTAGAAAAATATTAAAATCGTACAATTATAATATTTGAAGGATTTTAATTAGACCTAAAAGGACTAAAATCTCACATTTATAATACCTAAAGAACCTGAAGTGCAATTAACCCCTTTTATTCATCACACGTTACATTTCGTCCTAAATACATGAAAAATTATTACACAACTCAATACTATCACATCATCTTTCGACTCAACCAATAATAACGCGACTTGTGGACAATAAAAAAGTTGATGTTGCCTTCTAATTATGATATGAAATTTAAACTTGATTCAACAAGAGATAAATGTACCATAATATTTCCTTCACTTTAAATATACAATTATTTATATAATTTTCATTATCCTCTTTTTTGTCATAACATAAGTTCATGACATAATTTTGCCATCCAATCTTAATTATTATTTATAAAGTTTTGAAATTTACATTAGTAGTTATTACTTTAACCTCTTAATTTTAATAATTATAAAATATATTTATTTATATATTTATAAATTCATCTCTCACCATTTTATATTTTTTTAATGTTTTATATTTATTTATTATATATTATTTGATCTTCTTAGTATCAACATCTAAATCCGTTATTATTTTTAAGAAAAAAATCATAATAAAGTTGAGTTCTAATATAAATAATACGTCGTAATAATGTTATCATAATAGATAAGAAATCAATTTTTTTTTTATTACTAGAGGAAATATTGACGTCCATCGTGAGATCGAGAGTATAGTTTCGCTTTACTCATCATAACCATGCTATCATAATAGACATTAGATCGGGACATTCACGTTCTCAGGGGAACATTGACAACGTCAATTGTGGGATCGAAATGAGAGTCTCGCTCCACTCATACCCTTTAACTCCATGTCAAAACTAATTTATATACATTCTTCTTTCTTAACGAGATGATTTTTAAAAATCTAACTATAACCAATTAGAACCCTAAAACATATAATATCTTGAATATGGGATGAGACAATCTCATTCTCAAGAATAATAAATATTATTAAATATTTAAAAAAATCACAAGATGAAGATGCATATTATTTAAAGATTATAATATTTAAAATTATTAATTATCCATTTTTACTGTCAATTTGTTGAATACTATAATTAACTGAGTTAGCTCGATAACTAGTCCCTCCACTCACACAGAATTCATAAACGTAATTTTAAAATTTTATCACTCTTTTACATTCATTTTTATACAACACACTTTCAAGTTTTTTTAAAACTTTTTAGTAACTTCATAAATATTCATACAAATGAAAATAATTTTAAATTTTATTACTTATGTATAGTGATTTTTATGTAGCAGTTTGTTTCATTAGAATAAGACCTATACACAGCAAGATTCCTTGAATCCAACCCTTTATATTAATAACAAACGTACTGTTTTAGAAACATTGGTTCTTGATCCATCCAAAATGTCACCATTTGCCAACCATGTATTGATGAAAATGAGTAAGTTGAGAAGGAATGAAAGGTAGTGACTTGGAAGTTGCAACCACATACATCCATTTATAATAAATGGTAAATGATTTCTAAAGTGGATTGCATGAACATCAACAGTTATTGGCCACCAATGACCATCCAACTTACCTTTAATTAACTTAAATTCAACCACCCTTGGCCATACAACTTTACTTCCTCCAATGTGACATATGGAGGGGCAAAGATGATTTGTTCAACATGTGGTTCAAATTAAGAAACACAAAACAAACTGCTAAAAGGAGAGATAATCAAGAAACTTGTTGAACAAGGTGGTGAAAGGAAGAATATTTATCTGTCCAAGTCAATTATTCCTCTTCTGGGATATTATAACAACGCTCTCAGAGTTGATCAAGACATACATCCAATGAATTCTTGAGAAGATGACCAAAATTCCTTTTGTTTTCCCCTAAAGAACTATCGTAGGAGCTGTGTCAACGTCATGATTACTGAAAAAGACAAGACATGCAGTAATAGGGTATAAGTACATCGTTTAATTTTATTAAAATTATTATTAAGTATATGAAATTTTTTTAATTTATTCTCTAATTTTATATATTTGAATATGTTAATCACTTCTTTATGATAAATATATATAATTAAGAATATATAAATATATTATTTGATAAAGAGATTGTTCTCTTAATCTTATATTATTTGGAAAATAAATTATTTCGATGATCACTGGTTCATTTTACTATCACAGAAAAAGGCCTTGCAAACAAGAAAAATGGAGAAATCTTGGATAGCAAATGGCTACATTAGCTTTTCCTCGGCCGTAACCCATCTTTGAGTTTGATTTCAACTTCTTCAAAAGAAGACAACTTGGTTAATAGTCCATTGATAATTTTGGAGAATACAAATTATTTTATTTATTATTAATAACTTTAGTGTTTAGTTAGTTATTCATACTATTTTTTTTGTTTATTGTTATAATAATTAAAAAAATTATGGCTTAAGAAAACTTTTCAAATAGTAATCTTGAGAGGAAAGTTTTCTTTAATGGTTCCACGTTTTTTTTTTTTTTTAAGCTTTCTTTACATATTTGTGACCAAATCAGATGTCTTTTATTTTATTTTTAACCACATCGTCTTTAATAAGGTGAGTTGTTAAAATATGAAAATATTTTACAAAATTTTTATAAAAATTATAGGAAATAAATTTCTTATAAATTTAACTAAATTTTTATAAAAAAATTTAAAAAAACAACTCATCTTTTAACAACAAGTGTTTAACTATGTTTCTTTATTTACGAGACACTATAATATAAAAATATATTAAATGACATTATTTTATTTAGTTTTAAAATATATATTATATCTTTTATAATTTTAGATATTTACCGTTAGGATTGAACGCTTATCATTAGATCAAAAATTATAATCATTAGTAAAAGGGTAACTCTTTTTACTTATAAGTAATAGTTTAATCACCACGATTCGATTGTGATTTCAGCCTACCTAACTTTGCATGAAACAATTGATGCTACCTGCAACACTCACTCTTCTCTAGTTTTTAAATAAATATTCACTTTTTTTATGTTTCTTTATAAATAATATTTATTCTATTATATTTTTAATAGAGTGTAATTTACTTCCTTGTTAATATTCATTATTATTTAAAAAAATAAAGATTAAAGTTTAAAATATCAAATTTAAATATTTTTTTATAAACAAAAATAATTGAACGATTTTATTATTATTTATTAAAAATATCATACAAATTAAAATAAGTGTAAATTGTCTTATAAGAAAACAGTTACAAGTGTTGAGAAAATATCCTTTTAAGATAAAAAAATTTATATAATATATAAATAATTTTTTAATTTGTTATTATGTTTTCATGTGATTTTAATACAAATATAAATAAAATAAAATAAGGAATGTTAGTATTACTTCATTAATAACATAAAGTGTAAATATTTATTTAAAAATTAGAGTGTGATTTTTTTTTATTTTTTATATCTTAACACAGTAAGTAACAGTGTAATCTGTTTGCGATAAAATAATAGTTGGTTTTCACATAATCATAAGGGTTTTGTTATATGAATAATATAAAACAATATTTTAACTTTAAAATTTAACAATTTTTTTTAAGTTTTAGTTAATATTATTTAAAATGAAATATAAAACTTCTAAAATATAATAAAGAATGATGTCTGTTTAAAAATATGAATTTTATTTTGTTAATAAGAAAAAAATATTAGACTTATATAAGAATTAGAATTTTTCGAAAACATCAAAATATTAATGCTTGTGTCTCACCTGTGAATGACCAAACCAGAAACAAATACACACCCAATACTTTGAAGTATAAACTGTTTATTACCTGTGAAAATGACTAATAACCGCCCTCAGGCCCTAATAAATTAGGAGTGGTTGTTTGTTATTTGATGCATTCAAGTATCAATAAAAGCTCATACATGTGCTTCCATTATAATTTATAACCCTTAACATAAAAAAATGTTAAAAAAATATATAAAACCAAAATTAAGATGTTTCGCAATCATTCAAAAAAGTTAGTGAATATTATCAATCCAATGGCAATATAAAAAGTCTTTATATCTTTCTTCTAACTGAATTCATATTTTAAAACATATATTTAAAATAAATGCAGTGAAACAAAATTTATATTAATCATGTTTTATTAAAATTTTAAATTATAACCTTTTAAGTTGAGATCACTTGAAACCGAATTAAAATCTATCTGTAACACGTGCAGTTTGGAATTTCAGTGTTTAACTTTCTTCGCCCATCTGTTCATAAACTTATGGCGAATTAAAGTCGGCAAACGGGGACAGTTGAAGTTATTAAAATTTGTATGACAAATTTGGTGAATGTAGTCAAATGATACTCCAACATGTAACCGACTTATCAATAAACCATTCTTTCTATATATTAATTTACTATATATAAAATCTATTCAAATATTTTTTTTAAGATAAAATAGTAATAAATTAGAATTTTAAATCAAATAAGATAATTAAATCTAATGATATTATTATTATTATGTAAATAAAGTCGACATATTTTTATTCTTAAATGGAATGATAACATTTATTACGAGATTGAAATTAATTTTTTATTTATTTATATCTTCTAACTAATAACTTAGGTTTTAATATACTTATAAATTTTATATTATTTAAAAGTTAAAAATTAAAATAATAATTTATATATATATATATATATATATTTCTTTTTTAATTTATAATTAAAAATAATACTTTAAATATAAGAATTTATCATCCTCCTAACTAGTCATATGAAGAATGAATGAGAGGAAGAGGTTAAACATCTTATAATATTTTTATTAAAACAATTTGAATTAATTATTTCTTAAGACATATTTTTGATATTAGAAAAATTCTTATATTAAAATTTGAGTTTAAATTTCATGGATACAACTCATGATAAAAACATATACATTAATGATGATGGGATATATTTATTGTCATAAATGTTCTTTTCGTATGATAAAATAAATAAAGTAAATCTACAAATGCTGAAGTGTAATTAATAATTATTTCTGACCCATCATTTACCCGACTCTATATCTCAGCTATATAAATGATGATTCCTCTTTAGGATCTTCATTCTATCTCATCTCTCTTCTTCAACTTCTCTAATTCTGTCTGCATTTTCAACACCAAGTATTTTTGGTTGCAGATTTTCCAAGATGGAGTTTCCTCTTCTATCCATCTTCACTTTACTCAATGTGAGTTTCAATTTCCAAACTATATTGAACTACGTGCTTACTATTTTTCCCACTTGTCTTCCATTTTAGTCATAAACCCCAAAACACATGATATCTTGTGATACTTGGAAATTGTTCAATATTCTAATAAAGTGTTATGTGGCTTTATGCTTATGAAATGTGGTGTATGAATTTGCAGTTTGCAGTGGTGGTAACACACGCAGCTTTACCCCCTGAAGTTTACTGGAAGTCGAAGCTTCCCACAACTCCAATACCAAAAGCCATCACAGATCTGCTTCACTCTGGTCAGTGCATATATCAAACTTCAAATTGTTTAGCTAGTTTGTGTTTTTGAGTCCAAGCATCATTAGTAAAAGATATAGTAGGGTTTCATTATTTTTTTTCTTACTATTTGTTTATTAAACTCAATTTTGTTCATCTATTAATAAAATGGTTGATCAAGTTTTTCAAAATAAATGGGTAATAGTGTTACATTTTTAAAATTAATAATATAATTTTTTTGAAAAGTTGAATTAACATTGTTGACTTATAAATTTGGCATTGTGTGTATTGGCCATATTAAGTTAGAATACATACATTTTAATATATATTTTTTAATCGTTTTGCTACTAATTGAATGAAAATAATCATATTTTAAAAAAATAAATTACTTCATTAAAATTTTCAATATATATGAATTTAATTAAATGAAATATATAAATAATAGAAAAAATTAAGTAAAATGGTGATATGGAATGATATTATTATGAAAAAAAAAACACGAAGATATGTGTGGCAAAACTTCAAAGAGAAAAAATACACGTATAAGAGTAGTTGAGTTATGTGAGAGAGAAACATTAATAACACATCTTTTTATTTTTATTGTTTTTTTATTGGACGAAATTTCCAAGATCGTTAAATAAGTGGATTTTATTTTTTATTTGGTAGGTGCGATTCTAAATTTCAACCAAAGAATAAAATATATTAAAAATAAAATAAAATAATGTGTTCTAATAATTTTCTACATGGCGAGGAAAGAAAAGTTTCTAAGACAAAACAAAATCTAATTAACTCTTGATATTTTCATTAACAATTATGAATAAAGCAACCTAGTATCCGAAAGTGCAGATTGGGTGAAATAACCATCTAAATTTGCAGATTGGGTGGAAGAGAAAAGCACCTCTGTGGGTGTAGGGAAGGGTGGCGTGAACGTTAACACAGGGAACGCAAAGCCTGGAGGCACTTCAGTGAACGTTGGAAAAGGAGGAGTGAATGTTCATGCAGGGAATGGAAAGCCTAAAGGCACATCTGTGAATGTTGGGAAAGGTGGAGTGAATGTAAACACAAGACCAAAGGGAAAGCCAGTGCATGTTGGTGTGGGGAAATCTCCATTTGATTACAATTATGCAGCCAGCGAGACCCAATTGCATGATGATCCCAACGTGGCACTCTTCTTCCTGGAAAAGGACTTGCATCATGGAACCAAATTGAACTTGCACTTCTCTCACACATCAAACGTTGAGGCCACATTCTTGCCTCGTCCTGTGGCTGATTCCATACCCTTTTCATCAAACAGGGTCAGTGACATATTGCACAGGTTCTCCATCAAGGCAGGGTCAGATGAGGCTGAAATGGTGAAGAACACCATCAGTGAGTGCGAAGAGCCTAGCATCAGAGGAGAGGAAAAGCGTTGCGTGACTTCCCTTGAGTCCATGGTTGATTTCGCGACTTCGAAACTTGGAAACAATGTTGATGCCGTCTCCACAGAAGTGGGAAAAGAGAGGGAGTTGCAAGAATACACAATGGCAGCAGGAGTTAAGAAGTTGGGTGAGGAGAAGGGTGTTGTGTGCCACAGTGAGAAATACCCTTATGCAGTGTTCTACTGTCACAAATCAGATAGCATTAGAACCTATTCTGTCCCATTGGAGGGTGCTGATGGAAGCAGGGTCAAAGCAGTTGCAGTGTGTCACACTGACACATCAAATTGGAATCCCAAGCATTTGGCCTTCCAAGTGCTTAAAGTTCAACCAGGAACTGTTCCCGTCTGTCACTTCCTCCCTCAGGATCATGTCGTCTTTGTTCCTAAATAAAATGTTCGTCCAAGAATAATTACTTAGCTCATGGTTCATACCTTAATCTTATAATAATACTTCATTATATGTAAACACTGTTTGATTTAGAGCTATATATTGTATGTTTTGTAGCATGGTCAGTATATAGGTTGTCTATGCCCATCCATGTATGTTTTATACATAATAATATAAGCTATACTGAGATTTTCTCTCGTTCTCTCTAAAGTAAATATGGAAAAATTGAGTGATCTTGTTGAATTTCATCCTAGGAAATCTGTCAAAATTATTCAAGTTATTTGGAAGCATCTACAAGATGATATCCTCAAGATGGCTGAATCAAATAATTAATAAACATGGATGGAGCTGCACTTGGATTACCTGGTCCAGCTCCATGTGAAGCCTTATATTGTGATTCTCTGGCTATATTTAGAGAATGTTTTGCAACACCTCTTGAGAGCATTGTATGCTGAATTAATGGGAGCTACGATATAACTACGATAACGATGGATATTGTTGATTCTAGAAGAAGAAAATGTTTCTAGTAGGAATGTGATTCCTTTGTTTCTTCGCAGACTTATGATAACATATGAAATAATTGTACAAAAATATTGTTTGATTTTTTTTTATCGGCAACTAAGAATAAAATTAATAGAAGTACAAAGGGATACTTCAACCCAAATACAATTAAAAGAAGTTAGAAGAACGAAAATAAAACACACCCTACTGGGTTACAAGAACGAAAACTCAAGAATACATGTTCAATTACCCTAGCGATGCCTAAAGGAATTAGTTTTGGATAAAATGTTAACACTAACAAAGCTTATAACAAGGTTAAGCATGATTACACATCATTGTGGCATGATTACACATTTTAACTTGAAAAGACATATACCAGCCAGCACAGACAAAGGAGAAGTTAAAGGGAAATTAGTCTCATACATCTTACCGGTTCATAGAACTAATCGGAGTTTGCTAGGCTCGCTCAATCCCAGTCTCTAGCGCAACAAACAATGAAATTTGCACTCGCATTACTAAATCCTACTTTCGCATCAAAATTATCATTTTTAAAAATACATTTATTCCTTTGAGACCAAATTTCATATACCACTGCTACCCATAGTCTTTTCCATAACATGTTTCCCTTCGCTCCCAATCCACCTAATGCAAAGCTTTCCAGGCTTGCTTTCACCTCACAGTGGCTAACAAAGCTGATTCCCACCCATCTAAAGCACTTTTCCCAGATCTCCCTGGTCATCTTGCACGTGCAAAAGAGATGATTGGATGTTTCGTCCTCACTTCCACACAAGGCGCATTTTGGGTTACCTATATCAACCCTTCTCCTAGCTAAATTTACCTTAGTAGGGATCTTATCCTGAAGAATTCTCCACCCTAAAACCATGGCCTTTGGTATCGCTTTAATTTTCCAGTACCATTTGAAGATTGATTCGTTCTCATTGCAAGTTTCTTCGTTTAGAATCTCATACGCTTCTTTTACAATATACCTTTCATTTTTATTCGATCCCCACAATCACGTATCTTCTGTAACCCTATTAAGTGTTACGCCCTGAATCTTACTTAGCATTTCCTCCTCCATTTCCTTCTCCCATTCGAAACGTTGTCTTCTCCAGCTTACTCTCCATTCCCATCTATTTTCCATCCACACACCATGTTCTGATAGCACCCCATTTTTGTTCAGTCCTATTTGTTTTAACCTTGGATACAAGCGACCTAGACTCTGTTCCCCAATCCACATATCGTCCCAAAACTTGATTTTCTCCCCACTTCCTATTTTCCATGTTACATGTTTATCAAACCAAGTTCTACCAACATTATCTTTACATATTCTTTTTATATCTAGCCACCATTTTGAATCCTAATTAATGTTTTTCGGTTCGTCTAAGGCTCTCCAAGACCCGTATTTGGCTTTTATTACTTCCTTCCATAATCCTTTTGACTCGACACTTAACCTCCATTTCCATTTTGCTAGCAGGGACCCGTTCATCTTCTAAATGTTCTTCACCCCTAACTCATCCTCTTCCTTTCTTCTACATATTTTTTGCCATTTTACCCACGCTATCTTTTTCCCTTCTTTGCCCCAGCCCCACACAAACTCCCTTTGAAGTTTTGTTATATCTTTTATCACTTTAACAGGTATTTTGAACACGAATACATAAAACAGTGGTACCGTCGAAAGAACCGATTTCACCAAACATACCCTCCTAACAAAGGAGAGCATATGCCCTCTCCACCTAGAGAGTCTTTTCTTTACTTTACTTATGACGTCGTCCCAAAACTCATGCCTTTTATGGTTCCCTCCAACTTTCAACCCCAGATATCTAAATGGCAATAACATTGTCTTACAACCTAATTCTCGTGCAAAGCTTTCCAGTAATACAGACTCCACCCCTATTTCTCCTAATTTTGTCTTTCTCATATTAACCTTCAATCCCGACGCTAACTGGAAGCATCTCAATATCGCCTTAATTACCGTAATGTTATTTGGATTTGTATCGCTGAAAAACAGAGTGTCGTCTGCAAACTGTAGAAGACTGACTTGAAGCTCCTTTCCCCCCACCCTGGCTCCTTGTAGCATCCCTTTTGCTACTGCTTGCCTAACCACCCCAGCTAGCCCTTCAACTACCACTAAGAAAAGGAACGGGGCCAAAGGGTCTCCCTGTCTTAATCCTTTTTGGGGGAGAAACTATTTTGTTGGGTTGCCATTCACCAGAACTGATATGGAGGCAGATTTTAAACAACCTTTAATCCACCTCATCCATTTCCTGCAGAACCCTAGTTTCTCTAACATATAGAAGAGAAATTCCCAATCCACGGAGTCATAGGCTTTTTCATAGTCTATCTTGAATACCAGACCTTTCTTCCTTTTGCTCTTATACTCATGTATGACTTCGTTTGCTACCACAACGCTATCCAGGAGACCCCTCCCTTCTAGGAAAGCGGACTGGGAAGCACTAATTATCTTATTTAGCACGCCTGTCAATCGCCCTGCTAACACCTTTGCTAGTATCTTATATAGGCTGCCTATCAGAGATATTGGTCTATATTCATCCAAGTCCACCAGGATTTCTACTTTTGGAATTAGTGCAATGAACGAGGCATTACATCCTTTTGGAATATTACCCTCCCTCTGAAATTCTTCAATAGCTTTTAGTATGTCCACCTTCAGTGTAGACCAGTTATGTTTTATAAAGCAGAAATTAAAACCATCAGGTCTAGGACTTTTACTGCCTTCACAACTCCAACTGCCTCCCTTATCTCTTCCTCTGATATTTCTCTAACCAGAGCCTCATTTTGTACATATGTTATTCCTTCAAACGAGATCCCTTCTAATTTGACTCCCAAACTTGTTTCTCGGTTGAATCTTCTTTTAAAATGTTCCATAACCTCATCTTTTACTCTTACCGGGTCCTGACACCAAGCCCCTCTAATCATCATCCCTGGTAGTTCCACCTTGCTTCTTTTCCAACTAATCAAAGAATGGAAAAATTTTGAGTTTATATCCCCTTCCTTTATCCACTTGTCTCTTATCTTCTGTTTCTCCATAGATGCACTCTTTAACATTATTTTTCTCAATTCTATTTGGTATAACCATCTTTCCTTCTTACCTTCTTCATCCAACTGATCTATTTCATCTTTATGGTCCAACTCACTAATCTTGTTTATCAAGCTTTGTTTTGCCAAATTCAAGTCCCCAAACGATTCTCTATTCCATCTTTTCAAATGATTTTTAAGCATTTGAAGCTTCTTGGCCTAACTTTTAATTCCCTCGCCTATGAATTCCATTCCTTCCCAAGCCCCTTTTACCTCCTCCCTAAACCTCTTTTCTTCTTGCCATACATCCAAAGATCTAAAGGGTTTGGGTCCCCAATCTATATTATTTTCTTTTATTACTAGTGCACAATGATTTGAGATGCTTCTATCCAGTACATACTGTTTGCTCCCTTTCCATTCATGGATCCACTCCATAGATACCACGGTTCTATCCAACCTACTCATTGAAGATCCGTCAGTTCTATACCATGTAAATTTTCTTCCAATAGCCGGTAGTTCCCGAGCCTCTAGGTTCTGGATAAAATCATTAAATCTTCGCATTTCTTCCGTTACTCTGCCTCTTATACTACTTCCTTTTCTCTCTTCAGGTAATTTGACGGTGTTGAAATCTCCTATTACACAAAACACCTTACACGACAGATTTTGGACACTCATATGTATGTCTTCCCACAACTTGTATTTTTCCTTCACTACGCAAGAGGAGTAAACATTTACCACTGCCAGTTTTATATTCTTTTTCTTATAGATACCCGCTACTGCTATTAATCCTTCTCCTATAATCATGTTTACGCACTCGAACTTATTTGTATCCCATGTGCTTAAAATCCCTCCTGACCAATTTTCTGTCTGTTTGAAAGCCCATTAAATATTATTATGGTTCCATATTTTATAACATACACTCTCATCCTATCTAGCTAGTTTCGTCTCTTGTATACACAACATTTCTACCCCTTCCTTATTTATTACTTCCCTAATATATTTGATTTTCCCAGGGCTCCTAATACCTCTAACATTTAAGCTTAATATCCTCATGTGTCACTATCTCTCCCCTCTTAATCTATCTCCTTCAGTTTCATTACCATCAAGTTGTTATCCCCTTCGTACGAGAACCCCAACTCTCTCCCTATCTCCCATAATCTAACCGCCTCCTGATACTCTTTATTTAACCAGAACAACCTATTGCAGTTTACTATATTACTATCATTTATGGAGTTACCAGAAAAGAAATCTAACCTCTTCTCCTTGCGCTGAATTTTGGCCGAAACACCTGGACTGGATCGGCTGTCATGGCTTGTTTCCCCTCCTCCATTAATCATCAAGGCTTCCTTTTGTAACTCTATGCCTTTTCGAGCCACTGCTTGATTTGATTCCACCGCTTCGCAATCCGCAGGCTTACGAACGGTTCCTTCTACATCAGTTGATAGGCGTTTTGTGCCCAGTGTCTTTCC